ATTTATGCTGGGGAAAGGCTGAAAAATTCTGGAAAACTTACCTGTTTGACTGTTTTCAGACTGAACTATAAGAGCTGCCATTGATGAATTTGGATTTAATCTATTGCCATACATATGAGATGGTGCCTGACTAAGAGAAGATCCAGATAGGGTATTTGCCTAAATGAAAAGAATTACAAAAATAAATGAATGATATTAGAAAATATCTTCACGCTTTTCCTAATAGACCTAGCAACTGTTTTCTCTAACCTAAGAATATAAGCAGACATTCCTGACTTTCTAAAGAGCAAATTTTATTCTTTCTTGTTTTACCATTCCAACATTTCAACTTTTTTGAAATAATTCCAAATAAAAAAAACAAAGACTGGCACATTCAAAGTTAACTACGCTAACTTTAATTTCAAAGTATCTAGTCACTAACAAAACCCAGTGGCATGGTAACCATGTGAACATATGACTAATTATTTAATCTTATTAAACCATTTACAAAATAAAGGCAGGTAGACAACAGATGTCTAACAAATGCTTCAGTCCCTTACATCACAGGCTGGCTAAGGAGGTCAAAAGGGCCAATTTCTACTTTTAGTATTTTAACTACACAGAGCTATATTTCCATTGCTTAACTCTGTCATTAGTAAAACCTGCACACTATTCTGTTACTTCCTATTTTGATAGACTTGGAAGCCTGCTGCTTTTTCTGTTTTGTTTTGTTTTTATTTTAAAAGAAAGCAAACAGGCATCACAAGTATGTTTTCTATACAATGCAGAGCTCAACGAATCACAGCTTTGCCCTGACCCCATATAAGGCACTGTCTTTTTGGCAGGAAGCCAGCTCCACTAACTGAAGAGCTGGTCCAAAGTTTGTAATTCATTCATGTTGCTAACCACAATTCTGAGGGCCTCTACTGGGCCTTGTGCCAAACAAGGGAAAATGAACCCTTAAACAGATGACGCTACGGAGGCTGGCCAAAGTCTTGCGTAATCCAATGTAATAAAAATGCCTTCTTTGATGTGAATACCTTCTCCCACTTTCTAAGAATATTATAACCTTAAAATGTGGCATTCTGGGAGCGAATCTCCTGTACACAAAATACTGTTACTCTAAGAAGGCTATTCCTAGCCTCAATACTTTTGAGATTTAACATAACCATAGATTTAAAGCAGACTTCTTATTCTTCTTCATGAATGAGATCAAACTTAACCTTTTATAAAATGAAATTATTGTATAGTTATTTCATAACAGAATTCTGGAAAAGAATTTCAAAGGCTTGAAGCAATTCGAATATAAAGAGGCTAAGTAATCGCAGGACAAAAGATGTGGGATGTTCTACCACACGTACAACTAACTACACACAGGAGACCAAGACATGTCGACACGGTAGTTATAAAAAGCAAAATATTACAGAAAATAAACTGGGTTTCTGGGAAGATTCAGACCCTGACATTATATATGGCTTCTGGCCAACTTACTGGGCATGAAAACTGGACTTTACAATTCACAGAAGTAGCCTGTGAGATAGAATCCTGTCCTTGCTTTCCACTGTTTCAAAGGGTATATTTCCTAGTTCATTCTTCAAGGTCTAAGTTTAATTGGTCAATTTCTGGGTTTCATTTTTCTTCTTATTAAAGATGTGTATACAAAGCCAATAAATTTATACCATAAAGTCTTGCTTAACAATCAATTAGCCCTCAGGAAAAGGTAAGTCATAATTTTAACTTCAAGATCATACTAGATGCTTACCAGGTATTTAGTAGTGTAGCATACTAAAATATACAATTCATAAATGGAAATATAGCTAGGTGTTTTTTTGTTTTTTTACCTCTTGGTTACTCATAAAATAACTTAGGGTAAGAAAAACCACCAAACAGACAAACAGAAAAGTACAGATGTTACTAGTCCCATATGTTAACATCTCAGGTACCTTACACTTAAAAATATCCTTTGCAGAGCCGATTTGCTCTTACTCTAGATACAATTCTAAGAAGATCATCTAAGCATATAAAAGATTAGAAAGTGGAAAATTCACTAGAAAGAGGAAGAAAAGTCATTTCTTGAGACATCTGCTGGCAGCAGGAATCAACAGCTGACAGGAGGAGAAGAAAGAGAAAAAGAGGAGTGAGGTGACGCTCAAAGAACATGGACATCTAGATGCCTTAAACCTGCATCTCAGCCTTCTGGCTCTCCTGTTTCGTGCAGTCGTCGTAACGGTTGAAACTTAACTAACGTTACACCAGTTGGGTTATCAGTTTTATGAGCTGCCTTAGTCTCTTGATAAGAATCAAAAGATCCTACTCCAATCAGAAATACCCTTTTTCAGGAAGAATTCTTCCTGCAAGGGCTTTATATTTATCCTTATTAGCTTTCAAATTTTTTGATACAGTCTTCAAATTATCTTAGTGTCTCTATCACACATTAGGCCCACCATACTACAGGATCAAAATGCAGAGCAGTACTGCATAATAACTGATTTGCATAATGACTAACATCAAGAAGAAGATAAATCATCTTTAGCATAATTCCAAAAGAAGAAAGTAGGTATTTTATAAAGGTGGCAGACAAAAGTAAAGTTAATAAAATAAAAACCTAAAATGGGAATACATTTTTCATCTTCCTAAATGATCAATTTCCCAAATTCCCTGAATGAGTAAAAATTACCTGGTAGTTTGTTTTTAAAGAATTATTGCATTTATTGAAACCAGAAACTTTGGAATGAGATTACAAGTTATTAACATTATCAGGTAGCATTTTATGGTGTATTAAAACATCTAAACCACTCTACATTAAAACTCAAGTCATTAACGTCATTTTAAGCGGTAACAAGAGTTATGAATCCACAAATGTCTGACACTGCTTAGCCAATACTTCTGAAATGATGTTTAGAATGGTTAATGTTGGGAACCCATGATAAGCTTGTTGCCTCCTCTGGGCCAAGAAACCCTCATCAGTTTAGTGAAAAGATTCTACAAGTTAGTAGCAATAAGAAGGGTGAGTGAGGTGGGCAGGGGCAACTTACTTAGGAGAGCATACATATAATGTTGGACATTCTGTAGACTCAAAATTTTCTGTTGTCTTTAACAAGTGAAAGCACTAAGATTCTGGAGGACAGAAGGAAGTTCATGTGAACCTAAAGAAACACTGGTAAAGAAACATAAAGGGCACTTGAAAGCTTTCATTGTAAAAGAAATCTGGAATAAAGAAAACAACATACACATACTTCTCCCACAGCGTATGTCAGATGGGAATTTTTAAAAGAGCATCAAAAGCCAATGATGCACACACCAGAAGTCTGCTTCAGGAGACCTGGGATAAAAGACAGGCAATTCTTTTTGGAGAGAACTACCCACCTTAGGACATTTCAATTTTATCTTGCCCAAGTAAGCGGAAGGGCTACTAGGGACAGAGATCCTCCTTGAATCTACTGGCACTATAAGAATAGCTGTTAACTCTGCGGAGGCCGAAGGAAGGAAATCTAAGATATATGTGAACTCTACTACTTTTGCAACTTTTCTATATACTGTACATCTATAATGATTTCAAAGTAAGAAGTTAAGGCATGCTTGGATGGATGGCTCAGTCAGTTAAGTGACCTACTCTTGATCTCAGCTCAGGTCATGATCTCTGCACTGACAGCACTGAGACTGCTTGGGATTCTCTCTCTCCCTCTCTCTGCCCCTCCCTTGCTCACGCTTGTGCGCGCGCACTCTCTGTCTCTCTCTCTCTCTCAAAATAGGTAAACTTAAAATAAAACAAAACCAAAATTAGAAGTTAAAACAAAACAAAAAAATGATAAGACAAACTAGTTAATAGTGTCTCGCTGAAATCATATCATCTAATCAACAGTGTTAATCGAAATAGTTAGATTAGATCAAGATAAAAATATTTAGTAAATATTTTAAGTTCATATTGCCATAATAAACTTTTTTTTTTAAGTTCGTTTATTTTAAGGGGGGGAGGGAACGGGAAGGAGGGGCAGAGAGGGAGAGAGATAGAGAATCCCATGCCGACTCTGTGTTCCCCAACTCGACATGGGGCTTGATCTGACGAACCATGAGATCATGACCTGAGTTGAAACCAAGAGTCTGAGGCTTAACCCACTGAGCCAGCCAGGTGCCTCGCCGTAATAAACTTCTGCTTTCATTTCCAATATATGATACCTCAGAGTTTTTGTTCCCTCCCCAAGATTAATTGAAAGGAACCACTTCCACCCAAGATGTTACAGAACACTTATTCTAATACTCTAGTAATAAAGCCTCAGTAAGAGAGGTATTTTACCAGATGGACCCAAAGGCAAGTAGAGGAAGAATAAATTGAATAATTATTGAGGAAAATTCAAGCTACTTTGAAAAAAAAAAGAGTATGTTTAGGTGCCTGAGTCAAAGAACCCTAAGCAAATTTAGAATAAGTTATACTAAAACACCTAGAAAGACACACAGGTCTCTACCAAGGCAGTATTCCAACTCAAAGCAAATGAAATCAAAGAAATTTATTGTTTCATAAGTAGACTCACGGACCATATTAAAATATTAACAAGATTAAAATGACATTTCAGCTTGAAATTGCCCCTGCTGTCAATAGTTCACCTCCTATATTTCAAATGTCTGCTTATGACCACGGAGAAATTTTAAAAGAACTCTAGCTGCAAAGCAACGCTACCCAATTCCTAGGCACTTGGCTCCTTCTAAAAGAGTCAGATTATGAAGGAAAAAAGTCAGACTAAGCCTACTCAATTATTTGAATATCAGACAAAAATGGATGCTGTTTTGTTAGGGCTTTTTTCCTCCCAAATGTTGGTAAAGGCAGAATAATACAGAATAAACAACAAAAATTCAGTTTGAGAGAACAGAACCTATAAAAACTTCACTTTTGGAACGTATCATAGCAATACCTAGAGGTGGATATGAAACTTTATACTTTGATCATACAGGAAAGGGTTATAGTAAGCTTTTTTAAATGCACAATTAACCTGTCAATAAACATTAAAATCACATGATTCAAACAAGCTCAAAACACAGTAGAGCTTCTTCAAGCATTCCAACCCTGACATATGATATAAAATATATTCTTTCAAAATCTTGTCGGATTCACTAAATTGAATATTACTTTTAAAAATTTCTATCTCATATATACATCCTTAGAAGAGAATACTTTTATCACTATA